TTCACATCGTTTGGAAGCACAGGAGCATCTTACCTTTAAACTGGACCCAAATGGCTCTGAGATCAGAACCAGATCATGGATCCTCTGGGCAGGTTGGGATAAACTCTGGAAGTGAACCGTTGTCAGGCTGCTGTGATTGGCTGCCTGGTGGGGTCAAAGGTCAGCAGTGTTTGATCAGGTAACCTTATTAACAGATCTGTAAACAGACTGCTGACAGGCAGAGGTTCTGGTTATGAACAGAACTGTTCTGATTGGACTAAAGAGCAGAGCAGGACCAGAACAGAACGTGAATAATACACATTCACATCGGAATCATCTGATGTTGGTCATTTCTATGAAGGTATCAGTCCAATAAATAAACCTGGGTTAACTAGTTTTAAGCCTTGCTTTAAAAGTAGACTAAGTGTCAGCCTTAGGGACTAAAACTTTCCTTTTTGATAAATCACCACAGCTATTTTCAATGTGTTAATAAATCCATCCATCTTGTCCTATTTATTCAGCCAGTGTGGCAGTAGGGCTGATTTCTATAGCAGTCTATGATCAGGAGGCAACGTCCACCCTGGACAGGTCGCCCGGCAACACAGAGACACACCTAGGTACATATTAGAGGTGCTGACCAACCTGATAGGTGTGTTTCTGGACTGGAGGAGGAAGTTAGAGACCCCAGGCTGGAAATCAAACCTGCAACCCTCCTTCTGCAAGGTAACAGCAATACCCACTGTCCCACTGTGCTGACCTGATCATGCATCTTTAGAGAAATATAAACTGAGAGGCGTCTATATCACATGCAGTTCACTAAAGCTGCTGCAGAGGGCAGCAGAGCCTCATGTGTGTCACTGAGCCTCTAACTCACTGATGTCTATTTATTCACTGGATTGCTGGTAGCCCAGGTAAGTGGTCACCTGCCGCCATATTGGTACTCCCTGCTCTCATGGAGTCCTGCCATACCAATGCCTCCCTCTGCAGCATTTAGCTGCAGAAACCAGCAGTTTTCTGTCTGCAGGAAGACGTTCCACTGGTAATTTCCCAGTCAGTGGATGAACTAACCAATAAATCATCTATAGCCAATGGATCCTATATGGCGGCCGCTGACTACCCTGTTCGACCAACGGCATATCAGATATTCAGTGAATAAATAGAGATCAGTGTCCTACCAGTGATCAGCAGGTGAGCAAATATGTTGGAATAGTTTATTAATTCCACTTTGAGGCAAAGGCTACATTCACATTGCTCTGGGTCCCTGAGCAAGACCCTTAACTCCACACTGCTCCCCGGGCGCCGCACAATGGCAGCCCACTGCTCCCCAAGGGGAGGGGTTAAATGCAGAGAAGTAATTTCCCTCTGGGATTATTAAAGTATATAATAAATAAAATAAAGAATTGCATTCATCCAGCTTAGAGGACGCAATGACATCACCAGCCAGCATGCTCTGTGTTTAGGGAAGCTAACATGGAAGCTAGCGCTGGAGCGCATGTAGCCATCATTCCCAACGTTAGAAACACAAAGTTACCAAGATGGTTGAAAAACAAACTGCTCTCTGCACTATCATCCATTATTTCCTTGCTCTGTTTAGAAAGACGCTGTTGGGCCATCTGCCATGATCATGGTTCTAGAACATTGGGAACCAGTGTCCATGTTTAATCTTGACAGGATGACCAGAGGAGAACAGCAGCTTTGGTGAATAACAGCTGGGGGACTTCAGCAGCACCCACCCTTTCCAGCCAAGGCCTCCACAGGACCTCCCACAGAGGAGCGACTGGAAGTTCTGGAAGTTCAGCTCAGCTGTTATTCAGTCAGATTATATCTAAGACTTACTGTACAGCTTATTATACATTTCTTTATAACTGAGACTGATGGTTTGCATTAGTGATAAAAAGCTCACTGATCATTTTCTTTCTAATTAAATAATTGTATTTATTTCTGTCATTGTTAATGTTGATGCTGTGAATAATCCTGACTTTAGCAGGTTAATATCACCTTTATACGCTGAGGGGTTAATTCACTGGAAACATTAAACTCTGTTAAAAGATTTGTTTTATTTCCAAATATATTAGGATCCTTTTAATGTTTTAACCGTAAAAAACTGAAGTTAGTGATAGAGAACACTTTCAAAAATCACTTCAGTCATTCGCATTTCAGTTTCATGTTCAATGGATTTTCATTAATGAAGGTTAATATATAAAGAACATCAGCAATAAAATGAGTTTTAAAGGTGCAGAATAGAACCAGGCAGTCAAAACATTTTACAATCTAAGGCTGTAATTTCTAACAGCAGAATCTGATGGTGATCATAAAGATAATGTGGATTAGTCGACTAATCTGAGAAATAATCTGAGATTAATGCAGAGAGGTGCAGAAGGAAGCCCAGAGAGAACCGGTCCTGATGGACTGAGGTCTCCTCTATTTTCCACCGTGGGTCGCTCTGTGGGGGGGTTCTGGATCAGAGGGGATCTTCTGGAAGCAGCAGCAGAGACGGTCGCTGTGAGGAAGGTTCTGGATCAGAGGGGATCTTCTGGAAGCAGCAGCAGAGACGTCCACCAGAACCAGAACCAGAACCAGGATCCAGACTCAGCGGTTTGGAACCAGGATACTTCCTAGAATAAAAGAACAAAACCCTGATTCAGCCTCCTGGTTCTGATCTGGTCCAGAGAAAATATCACCTGTTAAGTTACGTCTAGGTGAGAAATAAAAATCTAGAATCTTTACTTTCACTATGGAACCATAATGTTTGCAGGAACCCTCAGAATAAACCTGCAGATAGAAATAAAGGCTGTAGAGTTTCCATTCAGAGCAGCTAGTGCTGAACCACAGAAATGGGCAGGAGGGGGGGGGTTGTAGTGTGTGAAGCTGCTTCTGTCTGGATCACAGCCCTGCAGGGTGAACATGGTTCCAGCTCTACAGAACATTTCCCTCCCTGGACCTCCTGGGACAGGATGCAATGATGCAGACCTGGAGCTGGACCCACCATTATCTGGCTGAATATAATATACACACTTTGGATGATTATTGTAAAACCTTTTAGGGACAGTTCTTGAAGAGTCTGATTGGATAGATTTATGTTGCTGGAGGAATCTAGGGTAAAAACTCTGCAGTTTGATCCTGGCTGGTCTACAATGGAAGATTTTTTCTAACGAGCAAAATGTTGGAAAAGAAACTGAATCTATTCCCAAACTAAATTTATGTTAACCTCACATTATTGTGGATTTAGTCATTCTTAATGGTTGTTGTTTATT